AGCCACTGAATATCCATTAAAAAAAATATGTCTAAAGTAAAAACATTACTTGAGTGTATATTTTATATAGAAATAGCTAATACTAGATAAAAAATATTAATTCAAAAGATGCAAGATGATCTATTATACCATATATATAGAAAAAATAATATTTCAAGGAATTTAATTATTGCTAATTAGATTATAATTTTTTCACACAAGTGAAACAATCTATAACTCTAAAAATATGAAAGAAATAGATTTAACAAAGTATAATTTAGAAACTAAAACTTTTTAATAGGTATAATGCTTTAAATAGTTCAGTTCAGTTCAGATTATAGGCTAATCTAAAATTGAACTGAAAATTTCAGTTCAGTTCAATTTGGATTATTAATTCTAAAAATGCTAATCCAAAACTAAACTGAACTGTAAACCAAAAAAAATCTGAACTGAACTGAAATTTTCAAATTAATCCAAAATTTTCAGTTTAGTTCATTCCAAATAAATGTAAAAAAAATCATTTGATTAGAATGATAATATTGATCATTTTAGATGAATGATAAGAAAATTGTTTATTTAGAATGATAATAATAATGTTTCAGATTAATGATAAAAAAATCATGTGACTAGAATACTTATCAATCATTTTAGACGAACGATAAAAAACCATTTATTTAGAATGATAATAACATCATTCTAAATAAATGATAAAAGAATCATTCATTTAGAATAATTAAAATTATTGTTCTAAATAAATAATAAAAAAATTGTTCATTTGAAATGATTAAATTATTATTTTAAACGAATGATAAAGAAATTATTCATTTAGAATGATTAAATTATCATTCTAAATGAACAATAAGAAATTGTTTAATTGGAATTATTAATTTATTGTTCTAAACAAACCATAAGAAATTGTTCATTTGAAACGATTAAATTATTATTCCAAATGAACGATAAAAAATTATTCATTTGGAATGATTAAATTATCATTTCAAACGAACAATAAAAATCGTTCAATTGAAACAATTAAATTATCATTTCAAATGAATGATAAAAAAAGCATTTATTTGAAATAATTGAAATTATCATTATAAATGAATGATAAAAGAATCATTCAATTAGAATGATTAAATTATTGTTCTAAATAAATGATAAAAGAATTATTCATTTAGAATAATTAAAATTATCATTTCAAATGAATGATAAAGAAATTGTTCACTTAGAATAATTGAAATTATCATTCCAAATGAATAATAAGAAATTATTCATTTAGAATGATTAAATTATCATTTCAAATAAACGATAAAAAATTGTTTATTTAAAATGATTAAAATTATCATTCTAAACAAATAATAAGAAATTGTTCAATTGGAATGATTAAATTATCATTCCAAATGAAAGATAAAAAATCGTTCATTTGTAATGATTAATATTATTATTCCAAATGAATAATAAGAGAATCATTTATTTAGAATGATTTTTTTATCGTACATTTAAAATAAACTATCTGAAATTTTGGATTAAATTGAAATTTTCAGTTTAGTTCAGATTTTTTTTTAGTTCAGATTAGATTTATAATCCAAAAAAAATCTGAACTGAACCAAAAATTTTCAGATTGATTTTTTTGCAATCTGAAACTGATCTGAAGTTGATCTGAACTGAAAATTTTCAGATTAATATGAACTATTCAAAGTTTTAAATAAGTATAATTAAATAAAAAAAATGTGATTTCATAAAAAATATTTTGTTTAATTTTGACAAAAAAATTTCATATAATAAAGATAAAAGAAATTTATTCAAGTATATTTTAATGAAAAAAAATACTAAAAGTATATAAACAACTTATTTTTTAATATTATTTAATAAAAACTGACATAATTACTTTGAAATCGTAATTAAAAATTTTGATTGTAGTATATAAAAAGGTAAGAATCTGACATATATGTAAATAAAAATTATTTTTTAGCTAATAAAATATATTTTTTTCATTTATATCATTTTTTTTACATATTCATGCAATAGATCATGTGAATGAATGCATAATTTATCAGAATTTTTATATACTGTATTCCTCTGAAAATAAGCAATCCCTGAAAATAAGCAACCCTTAAATTAACTTAATATCTGAAAATAAGCAACTTAATTAAATTTTATAAAATACCATATATAAAAAAAATTTTTATTTTTAATGTTTCAATATACAAATCATATTAAACATGATCGTTGATATCGTCTTCAATATTATCTTCAATATCATCATCAATATCATCGCCACTATCAATATCATTGCTACTATCAATATTATCTTTATCAAGAATCTCTAAATCAGAATCCAAATCGATTGATATTTTACAAGTTTTAAAGGATTCTATAATAATTTCATAAGGAATCCTTTCCCAAGACTTTTTAACCCATAAACATACATCACTAAATCTAACGCGATAAAGGTTTTCCTTAGCAGTTTTTTTAGCATCACCATTAGCCATCCAAATATGTCATTTTTTACGAAGATTATCCTTGAATGGTTTATTTATTGCAACATCCAGTGGCTGACAAATGCTAGTCAACCTACCTGGAATTACTGCAAGATCAAAGCCAATTTTATAAACTTTCTTTTTACTGATTTTTCCAAATGACCTTTAAAAGAATCATATACAAACATTGCTGGATTTTCTTGAAACCTGATTTTTATTCTTATATCATTGAGGTAATCTACATATTTTACCATTAAATCAGAGTCCATCTAACCATTTTTTTAAAACTAAACAATAACACCAGAAGGAATTTGTTCTTTACGTGGTATTCTCTTTTCTTTGAAAATACATATTGGAGGAAGTTTGGTTCCATCTATAATAATGAATCAATAGTACTAATGAGTAAATTTTGATTTTATAAAAAAAAGAAAAGCTTACCTGCAGCACATGTAAGTACAACTGTAAACCTATTTTTTTCATTACCTGTTATACGAATATGAACTGTTTTTTCACTCTTTGGATTGATGGTAAAATTACCAGCCATATCAAACTAAACAGGTATTTCATCCATATTATAAATATTCTTTAATTCAAATGACTTTTCAATTCTTAGGTTAGTAACAAATTGGTGAAACTTTTCTAATTACTCTTTAGTTTGATTAGGAAGTTTCTGAGATATTTTAGTTCTTCTTCGTAATGCTAACCTATATCTTTTCATAAAAGCAGTTAACCAGCAATGAGATGTTTTAAAATTTGATTTATCATAAAGAACCTTCATATTTGGTTCTTTTAAAATTTCTAACATTCTACTTTGTATTATTGTATAGATAACCGTAAGACCTTGCTTTCTTTGTTCTATAATCTATTCATAAAGTCTCTTCTCAGCTTTAGGATAAAAGGCTCCTTATCTAGAACCAAGCCTTTTACTTTTTCCTTTTGTTTTAATTGTTTAGTTTGAATTAGCAGCTACCCAACGTCCTACCATACTACAATTAATGTCAAAGTGCTTTGCTGCCTTAATGTAACCATATTCTTTTGTATAGGTAACGACTTGTATTTTTTGTTCGATAGAATACGAAGTTCGTGTACATTTATTAACTTTTATAACCTTTCGTTTAACAATTCTTTTTTTTATAGAATGTGACATTTTAGCTGAATAAAAAAAAATTTTCGCGATTTTACGTGACATTAGATAATTAACGTAATCAATGATCACAAAATTTATTGATGAATTTAGCAGATTTTAGATTGTATATTGTAAGTTAATCAAACATATCCAAAAATAAGTAACAATATAGCAAAAATATGTTTCTTATTTTCAGAGGAATACGGTAATCTTTTTTGTATTATTTACATTACTTTAATAAAATAGATTAATTTCATTTCAAATTTCTATAATTAAATAATATTAATCTTATCTGAATTATCAATTAATATTAATAAAAAAATGTATATAGAGAGAATTTACACTTATAAATTTTACTCCTAAAAGAGTTAATTATAATAATTAATATCAAAAATTTTTTATTTTTTAAAATATTAATAAAAATAAAATATATAATATTTTGATAAATTTTGAAATTTTTTAATATATAGTCAGATCTTTTTAAATGCATACTTTCAGGATTGAAAATAAGAATGCATTTAGAGAGAATATATATTAATAAAAAATATACATTTTAACAAATTTTTTATAATATAATAATAATAAATAAAATTAGTTAGATCTACCTAATAGAAATTTAAATAATATATTATTTAATTATTAAAAATTTTTTTCTAGAATAGTTTAATAAATTTTTTTAAGGTATTCATTAACTTAAAATATTTAATACCACCTTCTTGTTTAAGTTATTTATAGAAATAGTCATGTGATATACATTTAAAGAATAGGATTATCATATAAAAGAACTAAAAACTTCTTACATATATAAAACTTAAAGGATGCATTTAGCATCTAAATCCTAAGCTTAAGATCAGAATATTATATGTATTTATAGAGAATGCATTTAGAGAGGTTTGACTATATTATATATTTCTAAATAAAATATAAAATATAAAATTTTTTTAATTTATAAATTTAACTTTAATTTTTTAATTTTATTAAATAAATTTTTAATAATTAAAAAAAAAATTTATTATTATTATATTTGTTATATAAAATAATTTTATTTATTAATTTTATATTATAATAAAAAAAATTTTATTAAATATTAATTCTTAACTTTTTATAAATTTAACATTTTTATTCCTTTAATACTAGCTATATTAATTAAAATTTCTCTATCATTTGTATCAATAAATTCTTTATTTATATTATTTGCATTCTCTTCTTTTACACTTGTTCCTTTATATCTTAACATTCTAAAAATTTGATCTTCATCCATTTCCAATACTTTAACAATTTTATGTAATTCTCTAATAGGTGGAATATCAAGAGTAGATAAAACATTAGTTAAATAACCTAAATCAGTTAATAATTGTTGTGTGCCATGTGTTGATAGTTGTGGTATCATGAGAACCTTCTCGCATATTGCATGCATTGTACCACGTGCCAAAGAAGTTATCCATGCATGCGTAATTTCTTCTGTAGAAATTTCTTCATCTTCAGATTGTAGCATAGAACCTTCTTCTTTTATAGTGCTAGATTCACCTACTATTGTAATTGATGTTGTTTCTATTTCCTCAGGATTTCCTTTTTCTTTAACAGTTGAACCTTTCTTTTTATCTTCTATTAAATCATATATCTCTTTCTCCTGAATAGGTTTTTCATCGCTATAAGGCAATGATTTAATTGAAAATTCTAAGCTCTTATCATCGGCATAAACTTCAAATTGTTGTGGTAAAGTCAACAAATGTTCCCCAATCCTTGTAATATATTCACTGGGTTGTAAACTAAAAGTTGGTATTTGTAAATTAAAGGGTGAATTTTGAACTTTTTCAACAACGCTATTCCAAATTTCCATATTTGGTAAATTGGTAAGATGTCTTGCTATAGGAAAAAATATTGTATCAAATATATATCTTTGACATGACCTGATAAATATATCTACAGCATTAACTGAAGGCGATAAAATTTGTTTGGTCTCGATATTAGTTAAAAGTTCATTCAAATGATAAGAATTTAAAGGAGATTGACGAAGAAGTAGCAGTGATGACTGTGTTCCCGTGAAAGTAGATCTTTTAATTTGGCCTTCCAGTGAAGATGTTACAGAGGATCTTCTCTCATACCATTCCAAATCTTCATTAAGAGAATCGTGTACTATTAAATCTTTAACTGTTGCTAAATTATTCTTTACTTTTTCTTCGAATTCACTTAATCGTTCTGAGGTTGTTCTACAAGTTGCTAATAATTTTAATCCAATATGAAAATTCGACCAATCTTCTTGCTGTAATTTATCTTGATCAAAATCAAAATAATCATTATTTGAATTATCTCCACCCTTATTCACAGCTGATGTTCCAGATAAAACACCTCTCCCACAAAAACTTCCATCCAAACCACTATCCAATCTAAGCTGGTCAAGAAGTATCTGATACTCTTTTATAAAAGTGGTAAAGAAAAAATTCAATACTTCAATTAATCCAATTCCACCAAATCCATACGTAAGTGTCATACACCTATTTAATCCAGATTCAGCCATCATAAATATCTCCCCAATAGTCTCAGACATGACTTTTGCTAAATCTAATGATTCGACTTTTCTCTTCTCTGTGATGGTGTTATTGAGTAGCATAATTAAATAATTTTTTTCGTATTCTGAATAATCATGTTGATACTCGGAAAATGGCTCAAACACTACATTTCCCCAAGTAATTAAATTCGCTCTAGATAGGGACTTCCCACTAATAGACGCATCTGTCAACGAACTCACATTATTTCTTTTTCCGCCAACACTTCCATTCGCACTTGAACTCATTCCAGAGCTAATTTGTATAGGATTAAACAATACCTTTTCCATATGTCTTCCAAAATTTTCACTAACAATCCAAGTATCTATAATTTCCGGAAGACAATCTTCATTATAGAATTCAACCAAGCCTGCTAATCTTGCACTCAAAGGAGGCTTTAAAGAATTAAAAATATTTTCAATTAAAGACATTAAAGTTTCATTTGTATCAGGAAATACATTACCACACCAAGTATGTTCTTGATTGAGTATAATAAATAATTCATCATAAAATTCTTGCAAGAATTCTACAAATTTCTTTGGAACTTGCAGTTGAAATTTTTGTTGAAGTAGTTTTGGAGTTGTTGGAGATTTTGGCGACGTTGACGATGTTTCGTTATTAAACGGATCTGATCCACCGGTTCCAACAGGATTTTCTGCATTACCAGACACTGAAGGGGGGATATCTGTTAATAAAGCATATTGCCACATTTTCACAAGAGGAGCTTTTCTTGATCCATAATAATAGTTACAAAAGTCTTTATTTCTTCCTATTTGACTAAATATTTGATAAAACTTTTGACATACGCCAATATCATGTTGATTTAACGCATTGACTAACTGCGGGCTAACCGTTGCCTCTAATTGATTTTGTAATTCCGTTAATAATTTTCTTCTTTCCTCATATTCTGGTGTATTTTGAAAGATAACTAAACTTTTTTCAGCTTCCATTAATCTAACACTAGCTTTTTGATAATCTTGTGAAGCAAAGATATTACTTGCCTCCTGTTCTAAATTACTCCAATTTTCAGCCTCTTTCAAAACATTTCTAGATGCTTCCATTCTTGTCTTAACTAGATCCAAATACTTCAGTCTATCTAAAGCTTTTCCTGTATCTTCTTCCACATTATTCAATTGTGATTTCACTAAGGAAACTCCAGATTTTAATTTTGTAGCATCATTTTGCATAACTTGTAAATCTGTAATAATTCTTGGCATAGATTTAGTGATATCTTCAACTGTTCTTTCTAATCTATTCGAAACTTCTTGATTCAAAAATTGAAGTTTTTCTACAAGAGTTGAAGTATGTTTTTCTAATTCTAATAATTCTGATTCTCGAGATTTTACTATAGAATTAGAACTAGAGGAGGTAGCAACGGACAATGCTTCATTAATCCATGATTTGACGTTAAATTCTTTTGTTAAAAATCCCGAAAAATCTATAGATTTCCCGAAGGTGGTTGATGCTGTTGTTAAAACTTGTGACGGAGATTCCGATCTTCCTATAGTTGCTTCTGTTATTGAGGAAGCAGATAGTTGAGAATCCATCTAATATATGAAACTTAAAAAAAGGGTTGATTAAAACTTGGGAACGGTTTCAGAAAAGGGACCAATCACGTATCGACTCAAATTTCGAGCGGAACCATAGCTGTCTCCGGACTAATTATGTGACGATCACTGGTTGACTGATGTGAAAGTGAATGAAATCTACCGCAGCATTGAATATTTCGTAACACGGAGAAGAACCAGTAGGTTGGTTGTTACTCAACAGTTCCACAATAAATAATTAAAGATCGGTTGTTAATTGATTGATCTGCTGTGGTGGAAATTAACTGATTAATATAAAAAGGTTTTTATTTACATTTGACGTTTTACAGTCTCCGAAGGGTATCACTTTTTTATATCTGAGACAAATTCATTTTACAGCAAAACCTTTCAGTGTCTTCGTTTCGTTCTCATAGAAACCAACCAACCATTCTTTCCTTCTTTATTAAAAATTACAAAGGATACTAAATCTTATTAGCAATTTTTTTAATAAAAATTTTTAATATTAATATTTATTCTCTTCTAATCTTCCGTTTTTTTTTTTTTTTCCTTTTGCCTAAAACCAACAATAAACAATCTTTTTTTAATTTACGATGCAAGCCATCAAGTGTGTTGTGGTTGGTGATGGGTGAGCATTTTTTTGTAATTTTACTTGCGCATCGCCATCTCTCCTGAAAACGCATATAACGTCTAGAGGAAACAAATACGTGCGACTACCATGAGGGTCTTTAGACAGAATAACCAAATACAAAGCGAGACCTGAATACATATTAATTTAAAATATTTTCTTTTTTTATTTATTTAGTGCCGTCGGAAAAACGTGTCTTTTAATCAGTTACACTACAAATGCTTTCCCTGGTGAATATATTCCAACTGTGTACGTAAGAATTATTATCAACATCTTGACGTTTATTATTGATTAAAATAGAATATTTTAACATTTTTTATTTTTCATTTTTAGATTTGATAATTATTCAGCTAATGTAATGGTCGATGGAAAACCAATCAACCTTGGCCTTTGGGATACAGCGGGCCAAGAAGATTATGATCGGTTGCGTCCACTTTCATACCCTCAAACTGACGTCTTCTTGATTTGCTTTTCCTTAGTCAGTCCTCCTTCTTTTGAAAACGTTCGGGGCAAGGTAAATTCGTTTAAGCTAAATTCCTAAATTAAAACCTTTTTATAAATAAAGGAATTTTATTTATATATATATATATATTTTTATTCTTTAGTGGTTTCCTGAAATTGGTCATCATGCCCCTAATATCCCAATTATCCTTGTTGGTACTAAGCTCGATCTTCGTGAGGACAAGGAAACCATCATTAAGTTGCGACAAAAATCACAATCCCCAATTACATATCCACAAGGCCTTCAAATGGCCAAAGATATCTCAGCCGTTAAATACCTTGAATGTTCTGCTCTTACTCAAAAAGGATTAAAAAACGTTTTTGACGAGGCCATCAGAGCTGTTCTTTGTCCTACTCCGGTCGTAAAACAAAGGAATAAATGTGTAGTCATGTAAAAGAAAATATATATACATACAATTAATATATATTATATATGTATATTATAATCATTTCTTCGGCACAAATAAGTGTTCATTTATTTTTTTTATTCATTAACATGTCATATTAGTAAATAGTTCTTGAAATGTTTAATTATTTTAAAAAATAATAATAATAATAATAATAATTAAAGAAAAAAGAAAAAAGGACCATGGATTTACGATTTTTTTTTTTTTTTTTTTTTTTTTTTTTAAAAAAAAAATAAAATAAAATAAAATAAAATAAAACGAAAAGAAAAAAAAAGAGATCATATTACAAGGTCTTCTGAATACGATATATATCATATCTTAACACGTATTTATTATCTTTGAAATAAATATATAAAATGGAAAATGTTATATCGAATAAGAAATTGGACGAGGTGTTCGTTCTACATTTTTTAAAAAAACTGTAAAATCTTCAAAGATTTTAAAATTTCTTTCATTTAACCAATCATGGGGAGATGGCCGAGCGGTCTAAGGCGCCACGTTAAGGCCGTGGTCTCGTAAGAGGCGTGGGTTCGAATCCCACTCTCCTCATAAAATATTAATTCTTTTTTTTTTTTTTTTTTCCTTTTTTTGATTATGCTTACGTTGTTACATTTATCACAGATCGATGAGCGAATTCTTTAAATTATATTTTTTGGCAACTTTTTTTATCAGTAGTTACAAGCCTTTTTTTATATAAGCAATTATTGTATAGCATAGGTATCATTGGTAGTCGATTAATTCTGTAGTTTAAATGGGAGGAAATCGGTACGATAAAGACCGAGAGTATTCTAGTGGAGTTGGAAGTAGTTATCGAAGGTCAAGGCAAGAAGAAAGTGGTGGTAGTACTGGCCCAAGCGAAGTAGGCAGAGATTTTGCAAGTCGTTATGGAGTAAGTTAATAAAAATAGTTTAGCTTACAAATATTAAAAATTTAATAAGTTTATTTGTTTGTAACTTTATAGGGTTTATTCTCGGAAAAAGACTGGAAATGTCCCATGTAAGCCTACGTTAGTTGATATATAACTTTTCTCTTTTAAATTCTAATTTAATATTATAAATATTCTTAAAAAACTTTTTTTTTTTTTAGTTGTTCAAATATCAATTGGGCACGACGTCCAGAATGTAATCAATGTAAAACACCAAAACCAGGTTTAGAAGCTTCAGTAGGGTCAAGAGAAGGACGTGGTGGTGGATTCATGGAACGTGATGAGGTAGTCGAATATCGTAAATCGAGAGATGCAGAGAAAGATGATGAATGGGATGAATTTGGTAGAAAGAGAAAACGAAAGGACAATTTTTTAAGGGGTGGAGGTTGTAGTAACAATGGTAGCGATAATGATGATTTTAAATCTGAAAAATCAGCTTTGGAAAGTAATAAAAGTGGAGATGAACTAGAAGAGGAGGAAGGAGATGATGACGATCGGTGAATTATTTTACTATTTATTTGATTTGTTTATTTTAAAAAAAAAAAATTATATATATATGTATATAAACGTATATGTAAATATACATATGCTTTTTTTTTTTTAATTTATTAACCAAAATTTTTCACTTAATGTATGTATATATATTAAATAACTTGATATGAAGTTGGGCTACATGGGATGATATCATTGGAAATGAAGATTCAAAAGAAGCAAATGATAAAGACAATAAAAACAAATCATTATCAACGTATAGTGAACGACAACAACGTTGGAATAAGCTTTCCCATCGACGTTCATCTCGATCTCGCTCACCATACAAACGAGATCGTTCTTCATCTCGAGATAGGAGATCGCGTAAAAGTAGATCAATTTCTCGATCAAGTTCAAGAGATAAGAGAAGATCAGGAAACGATGATCGATATAAATCTAGATCTAGGTCAAATGGTAGAGGTAGGGATAAAAATAGAAATAGAGACAGAGACAGAGACAGAGATAGAGACAGAGATAGAGATAGAGATAGAGAAAGAAGGAAAACGTATCGTAGTCGATCCAGATCTCTTTCTAGGGGTAGGAAAAGGTCTAGTTATTATCGAAGCAGATCACGCTCAAGGAGTCGTAGTAACAGATATGGAAGTAGATCTTATTAAAGATTCAAGTATCATTTTTTATTTTTTTGGCCTTAAAAATGAACGATTTTAATGAATTTTAACAATAATAGAAAGATATTTTATTTTTATGTTTCTTGACTTTGAACAATGATGACATTAATTTGAGTTATTATTATGTTTTCTTGAACCAACTTTTTTAACGTAAATAAATATAGTAGCAATTAATAGTGTTAAACAATCATTAAATTTTCATCGGGTGAAAAGTATGAAGATTAACACACAGAGAACAAGGGATGATGATTTGTTGTGGCACTCTAAGATGAATTTTATATGATAAACAAAATTTTTTTGTGAAAGTCTAAAATATATGCTTTTAATAAAATTATGAATGGAAAAAATAAATTGCACAAATTTTGTGTAAAAAATTTTATACGAATAATAAATACCTTACGGCAATTGAGCTATAATTGAATGTCCATCCTTTTTCAAATATAGCTTCCTCTATATTTAATTTAAAATCCTATTGATTTACTTACATTAGAAACGGCATTTGACTTATAAATTATCAATTCTATGCCATTTTTATAACGAAAATATTTTTACGATAACTCATTATGACGGTGGATATCGATTAATTCATGTAGATAATTAAGACAATAATATTACAATAGTCGAGTATTTTAAAATTTTTACATTATCTTGTTTCTATGCATACGGTTACATGTTTATTATCAATCCTTTCTTACATTTTGCAATCATAAATCACTCTTAAAATCCATCACCATCAAATCCAACAAATCCCTAAAAAATTTGATATATAAATAAAATATTAAATAAAATATACTGGAATATTTTTTTTTTATAGAAATTGGTAATACATACTGTTAACAAAAACACTGGGAAATAAGCCTTTTTTTCTATTAGTGAGCACCAATTCCATGCACTTGTTAATCGTCCATCAATACAGCTACCAGCGTCAAAAAAATTATCGGCTCCACTTCCATCAAAAGCATACCGGAAGAAATCTGTAAATATACTTTTCTTTAACTCCTCGACGTTTCCAAAACTCTTTTCAATATAATTACGTAATCCACTATTTTTCGCGATTACAGGTGCTATATTATCTATGCATATTAATATTGGGTTCAAAATCCGGGATACTTGATTGTACTACGATAAAAAAACAAATTAGTTTAAAGAAATAAAATCACATGAAAAGAAAAAAACATACTTTATCGATGAACATTAATGCATTTGGAACATTTTTATCTCCCAAATGAATAACTGAACTCCCAACCCAATATCCAGCTTTTTGTTGGGCACGATGTAAAATAGAATGCATGACTTTTGAGACCGCTGGACACATTTGTACTCTGTTCAAGCCTTGCCCAGTATCTCTCAGTCTATATTGATTATCTTCCGATAATAAGTCT